AGGTTTTTTCCCCCTCTTCATTTGGGAGATGATGACACAACTAGCAAACATCTTTGCTGGTTGGCTCTGAGCCCATCAGATAAACCACCAGCACGCATGCTGTCCATTTGAATTACTGCTTGACACACCATAATCCATACTGTATATCATTTCGTTGTGGTTGCTCTATAATTTGTTCTCAGACAGGCAGCTATGATGAGATCAGTGTTTATGAGCATTATATAAGGACCACATTTTGGACACTACTAAAATTTATCTGGGATATATTTATATAGGAAGCAGGGCTTGTATCAGTGTATCATAACGTGACTTGTTTATATTCGTGGCACTGAAGAAAAGCATCTTAAATCCTGAATGTCACAGTGCCAAGTAATGATTGGCTTATTGGATTTTATACCGATAATAATTTGTACTGTGCAGTGTGATTGATTTCTGAATGAACATGCAATCTGTTCTCCCTCTCTCTGTAATATGACAGACCTAAAAGTAAAGGTCAATCCAATCACTCATTAATTTGTTTTAATGGAATGGTTTGTCCAGAAATGAAAATGTGCTGAAAATGTACTCACCCTCAGGCAATCCAAGATGTAGATGAGTTTGTTTCGTCATCAAAAGATATTTAGAGAAATTAAGCATTACATCACTAGCTCACCAATTGATCCTCTAAAGTGAATGGGTGCCGTCAGAATGAGAGTCCAAACAGCTGATAAAAACATCACAATAACACAATCTGTGTGTTTGTAATAAACAAATCCATTATTAAGACATTTTTAACTTAAAGGGGTCATATGATGCTTTTTTAAAGATCATTATTTTGCGCATTATGCAAATATTTCCACATGGTGATGTAGATATGTGGGGGCGTGTTAGAATGAGCCGTTTTAGGGGGGCGTGGCAGAGTCTTAACTTTGATAAAGAATATCTCTTTGGTTTTGAGACTTTAGTCTTTGCAACTTCAGGGATCTTATCTATGCACAATCAGCTTGTAACACTCCAAAGAGAAAGGAAAACTTGAAATCGCATCATATGACCCCTTTAAAACTGCTGCTTCCAGCTAAAATAACTTCCTTAAGTCCTCTATACATAATATTGCTTTTTCCAGTGAATATGTCATCTTGTCTGAATCAGGAAAACAGTCCAAAACAGTTCTAAACAAATATGTCAGTGATGTGAGAGGACAACAGGAGATGAAGCTTTATTATGGATTCTGGACTTGTAATTTGCCCAGACGTGCAGTTTAAAGTTAAAACATCTTCATTATGGATTTGTTTCTTAGAAACACACAGCTTTTCGCCTGACAAGATGTCACTTGCTGGACTGGAGTTGTGTGGATTGCTTGTGGATTATTGTGATGTTTTAATCAGCTGTTTGGACTCTCATTCTGACGGCACCCATTCACTGCAGACCATCCTGGTGAGCATATGATGTAATGCTAACTTTCTCCAAATCTGTTTCGATGAAGAAACAAACTCACCTACATCATTAATGGCCTGAGGGTGAGTAAAATTTCAACAAATTCTAATTTTTGTGTGAACTATTCCTTTAATAAGTGAGTAATTAATGTTTTGCTGCTGTTATTAGAACAACCGTGCTTTAAAAAGGACAATAAAATCAGGTTTGCCCCTTTTTCTCGCTCAGAGTGGCTTATGTGCTAATAATTCTGTCCTTGATGATTGTATCTTACATGCATATATGCCCTTGGCAATTGTGTCAGATGTTTGTAGAGTTTCCACGCTTCAATACCAGCTTTATACAAAGATTGGATACAAACAGACCAATAAAAGTGTTTCCTGTATCCTTGGCAACAGCACTGGAGCTGGCTGTAAATGAGGCAATCAAATTAATGCTGGAACATAAAGCGGGGAAAGAGAGAACACTCCAGGCACGATTATCCATTTTACACCAAATTTAGCATGGAGTGAAACATCACACATTTGGATGAGATTCAGCCACTGGTCTCCTATCAAAACACATATTCTCCGTTTAATTAGAATTGGAAGCGATGCATTTTGGTTGTCTTGCACAGTTGTCCCTAATTACCAAGACCTTTGCAATTCAGTTGTGGGACTGTTTTGGCCAACAAAGAGAGAGCAGGAGCAATGCTTTTGGCAAGCAGGGGGAAATATGGCCTTTAAAGTGACTTTAAAATCAATGTAATTTAAAACAAAATTATAATAGATGAATTCAGATAAGAAACACAATCATTCGATGTGTTAAAATCCAAGCACGTCTTGTTTCAGGCCCCATTACGCTGCATCGCATAAACCGCGGATTTAATGCACCACCAAGCTGTGAAACTGCCCAATCCATCTAAATGTGACTTCGGTTTTGATCATTGGAAAGGTCATCGGTCTTAGCAGCGAAGTCTGAGCCTGGCATCACAATAACTACTAGATGGATGGTTTCCAGAGCTGTGTGTTCCCAAGATTACAGTGTTGTGAAACTCGCCGTATGCACCATTAACCTGAAATATTATGTCTGAGTAATGAATGGTACGAGGGGATGGCACACTTAAATAGCAGTACATTCATAACTCGCAGCATTCCAGAAATACACTGTAGATACAGACTGCATACCCAGCATGTCTCTCTATATAAAAACAAAAAATCTGTAATTGCTGCAACTGGGAGGCCTTTAGTGCAACAACAACAAATTATGCTTGAATTTTCTTTCCTCCTGCAGGTCAGATTGGACTCAAAACAACATTTCAGCACATTGTAACCAGGTTTGTCAGTTCTTTGATTAATGTCTTGACCTAAGAATTAAGTTTAGATTTAAAATAGTAATGGTGATTTTAGGTATGATGAGTTGAGGGAAAAGGGAACAACTCCACCCAAACATAGAACCAGCACACACACACACACACACACACACTTATTAGTGTTTAGCCAGTATTGAAATCACAGGCATGAACTCCAACAGAGACACTCAGTGGTACAAACTGGCATTAAGCCTATTTACCCCCTCAGTTCAACACTGTTCATTTTGTTTCTCTCTCCCTGACTCATAAAACGATTATTTCCAAGAATGTATAAAATACAACTGATAATAATCTAATTCAAGATTTCTTTTAAATAAATTCATACTTTTATTCAGCAAGGACCAGTTTTAATGGGTCAAACGTGATAGTAACAACAATTGTCAAAAAAGATTTTCCGTTTCAAATGGTCTTTTTTCTGCTAATAAATGTATCACGGTTCCCACAAAAATATTAAAGGGATAGTTCACCCCAAAATGGAAATTATGTCGTCATTCACTCACCCTCAAATTGTTCCAAACCTCTATGAATTTTTTTTTATCTGTTGAACACAAAAGAAGATATTTTGAAGGTATCCAAACAGTTGACAGTAGCTATTGACTTCCAAGTATTTTTTCCATACTATGGATGTCAGTGGATACCGTCAACTGGTTACCAACATTCTTCAAAATTTCTTTTGTGTTCAACAGATAAAAAACTCATACAGGTTTGGAACAATTTGAGGGTAAGTGAATGATGACATCACCTTCATTTTAAGTTCAGTTTGTAAACACATGAAAGAGGAAACATGGACGAACAACAAAATAGAAGATAACATGAGACACGCCGATCCGCTATACACACGTACAGCCAAAGAAAAGACCGGAGAGAGTCATTTATAAATGAAGGTCAATCTGGACGACCCCATGCAGCCAGCAAACACATCTAAACACATAAAGAGGAAAAAAAAAAGAGACAAACCCAGTGTCTAAACTGTGTTCAGTCGGACACACACACACACACACACACACACACACACACACACACACACACACACACACACAGAGAGCGAGAGAGAGAGACAGACTATCCCCTTTAAGCTGCACAACTGTTTTAAACATGTTAATAATAAGAAATGTTTCTTGAGCACCAAATCAACATATTAGAATGATTTCTGAAGGTTCATGTGACACTGACGACTGGACTGCTGGAAATTCAACTTTAAATAAGTTAATAATTTTAAAATAAATCAAAATAAAAAGTGCTATTTTAAAATGTAATAATATTGTATTGTTGATCAAATAAATGCAGCCTTGGTGAGCATTAGAGACTTCTTTCAAAAATATGAAAAAATCTTAACGACCCCAAATATTTGAACAGCGATGTATAAAATGTACTGCACCAAGTGATATTTAATTGACAGAATAACAATAATGTCAAATTTGAAGTCATATGGTAACATTTTTCGTAACTGGCAGAAATTTAAATGGATAGTTCACCCAAAAATGAAAATTAACCCATGATTTACTCACCCTCAAGCCATAGGTGTATATGACTTGCTTCTTTCAGATGAACACAATCAGTTATATAAAAAAATGTCCTGACTCTTCCAAGCTTTATAATGGATGCATAAATCTATCATAAAAAGTACTTCACGGTGGCTCCGGGGTTAATAAAGGCCTTCTGAAGTGAATCGATGCATTTGTGTAAGAATACAAATAAATCGTAATCTCTAACTTCCGCTACCTGTCTTATGGGTGTTCACGAGAGAGTGGCGTTCCAACGGATGCCGTAGGACGTAAGCATATAGCATAAGCTCCAGTGAGAATATGCTAGTCTCGCGAGAACCAAGTTTTGTTTACAGCAAAGGAAAACCAGTCTCCTCTTGGCTTATATTGAAATCGTCTAACATTTTCTATTCAAATTTGTGCTTTTTACTTCTAATTCGTGACGGTGTTTTGTTTTGCTCTCTCCTCTGCGCTTCCGCGTTTGTCACTTCTCAACGGAGCTTACACTACATTTACATCGTGCGTCATCCACTGAAGCACCACCAGTACCATAGATATGTATAGATGCCCCATTCGACGGCTCCAGGCACGTAGATGCGGCCGCCATCTTGGAACGGTCAACTTGACGTCATTCACCATACTGTAGGTTCTCACAGAGCCCTTGAGCCCATAGATATATATACGTAGATGCCTCATTAGCGACTGTTTCTATGGGCCGCTATACGTAAGCTGTCTGCCATATTGTAACGGTCAACTTGACGTCATTCACCATAGTAATCACTGAATATTCGAAAGATGCCACAATCCTGCACAGAACGGCTCAATGGCTCTGTGAGAACCTACAGTATGGTGAATGACGTCAAGTTGACCGTTCCAAGATGGCGGCCGCATCTACATGCCTGGAGCCGTCGAATGGGGCATCTATACATATCTATGCTTGAGCCGTTCTGTGCAGGATTGTGGCATCTTTCGAATATTCAGTGATTGCTATGGTGAATGACGTCAAGTTGACCGTTACAATATGGCGCCTTAACGACCCCAAATATTTGAACAGCGATGTATAAAATGTACTGCACCAAGTGATATTTAATTGACAGAATAACAATAATGTCAAATTTGAAGTCATATGGTAACATTTTTCGTAACTGGCAGAAATTTAAATGGATAGTTCACCCAAAAATGAAAATTAACCCATGATTTACTCACCCTCAAGCCATAGGTGTATATGACTTGCTTCTTTCAGATGAACACAATCAGTTATATAAAAAAATGTCCTGACTCTTCCAAGCTTTATAATGGATGCATAAATCTATCATAAAAAGTACTTCACGGTGGCTCCGGGGTTAATAAAGGCCTTCTGAAGTGAATCGATGCATTTGTGTAAGAATACAAATAAATCGTAATCTCTAACTTCCGCTACCTGTCTTATGGGTGTTCACGAGAGAGTGGCGTTCCAACGGATGCCGTAGGACGTAAGCATATAGCATAAGCTCCAGTGAGAATATGCTAGTCTCGCGAGAACCAAGTTTTGTTTACAGCAAAGGAAAACCAGTCTCCTCTTGGCTTATATTGAAATCGTCTAACATTTTCTATTCAAATTTGTGCTTTTTACTTCTAATTCGTGACGGTGTTTTGTTTTGCTCTCTCCTCTGCGCTTCCGCGTTTGTCACTTCTCAACGGAGCTTACACTACATTTACATCGTGCGTCATCCACTGAAGCACCACCAGTACCATAGATATGTATAGATGCCCCATTCGACGGCTCCAGGCACGTAGATGCGGCCGCCATCTTGGAACGGTCAACTTGACGTCATTCACCATACTGTAGGTTCTCACAGAGCCCTTGAGCCCATAGATATATATACGTAGATGCCTCATTAGCGACTGTTTCTATGGGCCGCTATACGTAAGCTGTCTGCCATATTGTAACGGTCAACTTGACGTCATTCACCATAGTAATCACTGAATATTCGAAAGATGCCACAATCCTGCACAG